GACTTTGTGGACTGGTGTTGGGTTAATGGGTTAATGTTGGACTTGTGGGCTTGGGCAGCATTGGGTTGGGATGTTTTCGTGATGCACATTTTATTACATAAAACTCTCTCTTATACATGAGTCGCTGTGGATTTGTTTCTCCAAAGTACCTAGACTAATACACACACTTTGCACATTCCAAGTACCAATCATATGCAGATGCTTGTAGCTGTTTCTCCTTGAGTGCTGCCCTCAGCAATGAGGATCCCAAAGGCTCCACGCCCACAGGCTTTACCCAACCGACTCATGTCAGCATGGTCAACTCCATGCTGAGAAATCAGCGGTAGTCACATTTTGAGTGCCCTCCGACCCCAGGGGCCCACCCATCCTCTGGCACTATCTCCGACAATGTTCTGCTTCTACTCGATAGGCTTTCGGGACCTGGCAATGTTCTGAAGTCACCTGTAAGGTTTCCAGCAGCTCCTTCCTGCAGAGCGGGAGACCGAGTCCTTCGCTGAGTGTGGTCTGGAAGCTCATCTGAAACCGGTCCCCTGTGGGGGACCTGCGGCATTTCACACACAGTGACACAGCTTCTGCATCACAGCACACATGAGCCACCAGTGTGACACACGGACAGGCAAGCGGCGCGTGCTGAGCAAGCAATCAGAAAAGCTGGCATAGGAAGAATAATTCGGCAGTCTGCAGATGGCACAAGCACGCTTGCTGAAACAAAGAACTCGAGGCCCTTGCTGATGGAGATCAAAGACTGCAGCCTTTAGTATGAATTGAAACTCAATGTAAAGGAAACAAATATCCTTACAACTGGACCAAGAGAGCAGACCACGATGAACAGAAACAAGACTGATGTTGGCAAGGCTCTCACTGCACTTGGACCCACAGTCAACACCCATGGAAGCAGCGGTCGGGAGGTGCAGAGGACCCTGTGCTGCTCTGGGCAAACCCGATGCAGGAGGCCTCTTCAAAGCACTCAAAGCAGTCTTCCCTCTGGAGACGCCATGGCAGTTTTCCATCACTTCACAGGCGAATGCCAAACAAGGAACAGGAGAGACCACAAAAGAATTGTATTTAAATGATATTGCTGGCAGAGAACATTGAATACACCATGAACTGCCAGAAGAACAAACAAATGCGACCTGGAAGTGCAGCCAGGATGCTCCTTAGCAAGGAGGGAGGGGTGAGTCCACGTTCCCTTGGACTGCTGTCAGGAGCGAACAGGCCTGGAGATGGACGTCACCCTGGATAAGAGGCTCAGTGAATAAGATGAAGACCTTCTCCGAGATGGCTTGGCCCACTTGCTGCGACAATGGTGAGGGGCTGCAGGAAGAGGCAGTGCTGCTTCCTTGCGTGGCAGCACAGGGAGCCGGCTCCATGGCACCGAGGAGCAGCATGCTGAGTCAGAGCAGGCAGGAGCACTTCCCTAGAGGGTCTGTGCTCGACGGCAGTCTTTCGGCAATGACACAAGCTCCGAAAGAAGGGTGCAGCTCTTGATCGCAAGGGCTCAAATAGAAGGCAAATGCTCTGAGAATGATGATGGCAACAAATGTACAAATGTGCCTGACACAATGGATGGATGTATGGACTGTGATAAGAGTGGTATGAGCCCCCAATAAAATGATCAAATAAATTTTTTTTTAAAAAGGTGTAGCTCTGTCAGGAGCAGATGCATTGTGCCATCTCAGACTTCCGAGTCTTGCTAGAATGGAGCTCACAGGCACTGAAAACTCCCTCAAGGACAGTGGGCTCCATGGACTTCTCTCTTCTGCTCCATCCCCGGCATCTTTGGTCTCTTTGCGCCACTGTTGAGGCTTAGGTCAGTCCATCTTGTGGAGGGCTTCCACCCCTCCCTGGCCCTCCATAAGAAACTTCCCAGGAAGCTGGCCAGCAGGCCCAGGACCAGTGCGAGCTCATCCTGAGGCACAAAGCAGGAACCAGCCTTCAGGTCCCAGCACCTCAGGTGTGGTGCCACCTCGCCACCCACCTCTTACTCTGTGGCCTCATCAGGCACCTCCTATGACCTGAGGCCAGAAACCCAGGTGAAGAAAGGTGACAGCATGGCAGTCCACTCAGTGGAGGCCAAGAGACCCCCACTTGTCAGCTCTCCAAGGGCTATGCCTGGCTCTTCCCTTTGCCTGAAGGAAGTGGCCCCCAGGAGAGACGTGGTGGGGTCTTGCCAGCAGAGGGTGCCCTCCCGCCACCCCCCTCCATTTCTGAGCTCTCACTCTCTCTTGGTGGCGAGTCCCCGGCCTGGGGGAGGCGGCCTGCAGCTGATGAGTAACCTGCCACTGCACAGACACCGACGTGGCCTGCCACATGCCTTGCTTTACACGCCAAGACAAGCCCTTCGCCTCTGAGGTTTTGGGGACTCCTGTGCTGCTTGTTTCGTGGCTAAGTGCATCAGCATTTGCTTCTTCTCACCGAAGGCCCACATTGACAGCAGGGCTCGATGGGAGAGGCCGACAGTTTCGCTCCACTTGTTCCTCTCTGGGCTGGTGTACGTCGCCAGGTTCTCAGTGTACTGCAGGACTGACTTTAAGAATCTGTGGGAGAGGAGAAAGCCATTAGCTCTCGGTGGGAAACAGAAATATTTCTCCCAAGTCCTCCCCACCAAATAGGACACTGCTTTCAGCTAATGGTAAATAATTGTCAAGTTACTTCCCTGCAGGCAGTCAGTTGCCAGACTACAGTCTAGTCCCACCAGGGTAGGGCCTGCTCCCTGCTGTTGACGATGGGCTACTTCTCCCTAAAGGCTTGCCACCTTTGGCTTGGCTCCTGTAGGTGGGGTTTATACCCTGATAATGGTTTCCATGGAGACCCAGAGAAGAGGTCAAACCAGCTCAGTGACACCCAAAGTTAGACTGCCATCCTGAATCCAGGATCCGCCCATCTTGTCACATGTGTACCCCCAATCCCGCCTCTTCCTACTGTGTGTATGTCCCTAGACCACCCCCTCTCATTACTGTATTACCTATAGCACAACCCCTTCCTGTGACGTATGTCTACCTGTAATTAGGGGGCTTGCATGCCCCCCCTCAAAGATATATAGGCTTGGGTTAGCAATAAAGAGTGCTCTCTTGGGCTCCTCCCTTGGCTTCTCGTCAGCTCCCTCTCCTCCCCTGCTCCCTTTCTCCTTGTCCTCCTTCCCCTCCCCCTATCTCCAGTGGACCATTATGTGGGGCTGAGGTGAGCATGCTACCATGAAATGTGTCTGACTCCATTATTTCAATCTCTCCTCTACCTTTCATGCGCTTTATGACTTTACTATAACCTTTACTTATTATCGCTGTACAATTGCGCCTATCAAACCCGTGATTAGTGGTGGGGGGCTGGCCTTTCCCCCACAGCTCTCTGCCCGCGCCAGCCAGCGTGGGCTACAGGGCGTGTCCTGCCTTTTGTCCGTGGCTGCACCCACAGGTAAGTGGACCCCATCGCTGTCTGAGGCATCAGGAAAAGAAAGGCACACAAAACGACTGTGACACAAGGGGGATGCGAGAGACAAATGCCATCAGAGGCGTGAGCAGGCCCCTGCAAGGCCGTGGCTCCCTGCCTTTGAGATGCCCGGGTTTGTGGGGGCTCCCCGCCAGAGTATGGCACTGTCCAGTCCTGGGCTGTCCCAGGATGGACCTAGAATGGTCACCCGACTCACCCCATGTCACAGAGCACAGAACTGCCCGTTCCCAGACTGTCCAGGTGATCAATGGCTGATTTCAGTAGACTGACCGCCAGGTCCTCCCTCGCAGTCCCCCTTAGTCTGGAGACTGCTGACCCCATTCGGCATCACAGCCACACTCGAACCTCCCCCACAGATGGTGGCTGCCAGCCTGGGGACCGACCCCAGGTCACCGACACGGAAGGCTGTCATCCTACCACTGAGCCACCACTGGCCCGTCCCTGGAACGTGTAGATCCATGCACAGCCTTCGAAGTGCACAGCGTGTGTGAGAACGCAAGGCCCACCCTCTGGCCATCTGACACCTGCTTCTTTCTGGGGTGCACGACTGGGATTCCGAGGGGGACAGTCTGCTGCATGCCCCGAGGGGTGGTGATGAGGACGGGCTCGGGAATGGCCATCATTTTGCTTCTTCCCTGTTCTTCCCCAAGCTTCCCTTCAGGCCCCAGTTGTGCTCTACAAGACGCTTGGACAACACAGTAATGACCAGAGCCTCCCTCCCTCCAGACCTGGCTCTCGGGCCTTTTCCTCTTCCAGGGGCCCCTGGCGAGATCTGTGAGCTGCATCAGAAGCAAGCTGGGGTCTCATGACCAGTGAGAGAGAAGAGCTAGGTGTGTAGCGTCCTCTGGACCCGGGACTCCTGCTTGACCCAGGAGACGGCTGGGACACCAGAGGAGTGGCAAAGAAGCAGCGGGGCTGAGGCCAGGGCAAGAGGCCAGAGAGGGACCTGCCTGTGAGCACGGCAAGGAAGAAACTGCCCTGACTGAACAACTGAACCCTGAGCATTTCCCACCGGGACTGGAACCTGCTACCTCCCCTGGTGAGCCCCATCATCGTGAGCTTCGTCTGTGAGTTGTGTGTGCCACTGCCCTGGGAGACATCGCTAAAGGGGTGCGTGCTCCGGGCTCAGAGCAAAGGGGGAGAGCCGGGACAGGGCGTGGGCTCAGAGCGAAGGGGGAGAGCCGGGACAGGGCGTGGGCTCAGAGGCACCAGCGCAGAGCTCCAGTCCCCCGAAGACAGACTTACTTGACATACTGCTGATAGTCACACGTGCTCTTCCCTCCAACAGCGTGGATGCTGACCAATTCCAAGGTAACGAGCAGCAGAACCAGGCGAAGGACCGGAGACAGCAGCTCAATGCTGAAGAGGTGAACACTTTACCTCTGGGTGAACATTTCCCACGCCACATGGAAAGCACTGTTGCCCTGCCCTCCCCAGACCAGGTGTCCGCCTGCTTCCGGACCACGCTGGCCAGAGCGGCCGCCCTCCTCCCTCTCACAGCAGGGGTCACAGGCGGTGACTTGTCAAGGTCACAGTTTCCTCCATTCTCATCTCATGGGGCGACTGCCCCACCCCTGCGCGGTCCTCATCTCAGCTGCCCCTGTGACCTGCCACGTCCTCGCCCCCATGGGGCTGACTGGCCCTTTCTACCCTCCCTTCCTGGCCAGCCTGCCAGCTGTGAGCAGGGCAGAGATGGCACCTCCATTCCAGACCCCTCTCCATGTTTGAGCCTCTGGGGAGGCCCAGGCAGGCTCTCACGTGGGACAACCTGAGACTGCAGTCTCACTGGCACCATTGGCCCTCAAACACCCTCTGGTCCCAGTGTTCCTGCAGCTGTTGCCTGGCATGGCTTCTGGACCTCTCAGGCCAGAGCTGGATCACTCAGATGCCCATTTAGAGTGGACATCGTCTTTCCTGTCGTCGGATGCTCAGCAATGGGCACATGAGGGAGACACAGGCCAATGGTCCAACACTGCCAGCAGCCAGAGGACCCCCGGCATAGACAGGAAGCCGGCAGGGAGGAGGGGTCTCACATGCAGCTGCTAAGAGGGCACGCCCAGGGCCTTCTGGGACACAGGGTGGTGTGCGGCTGTGCGCTGGGACGCGCAAGGCTGTGGCTCGGGGAGATCGGTGCTCCTCCAGGTCTCCTGTACTCTGGACCAAGCACCGTCCTCCCCTTGCTCCGCCCAGGGAAGGCAGGTGTCTCCTTCTCAGACAGGTCCGTACGTGGCGCAAGCCCTGGCTGTTGCGGGTTTACTGTGACCTTCCTCAAAGGTATGTCTCAGAGCATGATCTCTAAGGACACCTAGGTAACTTCCCTATCAGAGGGCTCCCAAACAGGGTGCACACTCACCTGGGTAACATGCGCAGGTAGTTCTGCCTCTGCCGAGAGCGCAGGGTCTTGTCCAGCCACTGCCGGTGCCGCCGCTCTGTGGAGGCCAGGACCTGGGTGGACACTTGGTGGCATCGGGCACACACTTTCTGGAGCAAGGCAAGCACTTCAAGAACTGCTCTCGGGCAGTACAGGGTGGGGATGGATGTGCCACAGAGCGATCTCAGCACCTGGGCCCACCTGTCAGCAGGGTGGACAGAGAGCTGAGGGCAGCTGTCATGCCAGCATGGTGACCATCACATTGAGCTCACACCGGTCAGGTGTTGACCCCACACACGTCCTTCTCCCCCGGACATTAGACACACCAAAACATAGCTGCTCTGGCTTCTTGTAACAATTCTTTGGGGCAAAAACAGTCGAGTCCAAAGTTCCTACCAAATAACAGAGTAGAAAAAGCAGAAAAGGGCTGTTTCTCCTCCCCATTTGCTGAAATAATGTTTCACGATTCTCAAAAACTTACTTCTCAGAACGAAGGCCATCCAGGTTATCGAGATGACGGTGAAGCCCAGGTAGGTGGTGACACATCTCACACAGCACCTTCACAATTAAGGTGGTGCAGGCCTCGGTTTCACACGGGTCGTCTGATCTGAAGTACACGGAATGTTTACAGACAAACAGCCATCATTAAAATGCCCTGTTAGGCTCATGGTTCAGTGAGCAAAGCACTTAATCTGCAGCCTTGTTCCCCCAATGTAAAATGAGGCACCGTGGTCGCACACCTCCCCGATGCACTGGAGAGACCTGATCACGGACGCAGAACCTAAAACGGAAGGCACCATGGAAGCCCCACGGACGAGATAGGAGGCACCATCACAGAGAGATGTAGAATGAGGCCTGGACCCTGGCCGCCCACTGGTGACCGTGTGCACAGGCGTCCCAGAGCGCAGCGGCTCTCTGGGAACAGCTCAGGGCAGCACTGAGGGGGGTGGACGGCTTGCAGAGCTGCAGAGCGAGCTGAGCACCTCGGCCTCCGATTCCGACAGCAGACACTTGACCAATGGCTGGAATTCCGTAGTTGTACCCATGCAAAGGAAGGTCTCCCAAAAGGATGCAAATATCGTCAATATCATTAATGTCACACGCAGGGAAAACTTTGCGCAGATCAGCCAACAACGGCTGCAGCATACATTGACTGCCTGAGGGGCTGCCAGAGGCTCAGGTCACTGCTGATGTCAGGTGCATCGCTGCTGAAAGCCGAGAGTACCAGAAAGATGTCTACTCGTGGTTTATTGACTATGCAAAGTCGTTCGACTGTGTGAATCATACCTGAGAAGAATGGGAATTACAGAACAGGTCGTTGTGCTCATGTAGAACCTGTATGCGGATCAAGAGGCAGTTGGGTGAACAGAACAAGGGAATGCTGCCTGGTTTACAATCAGAAAAGGGGTGTGTCAAGGTGTATCCCCTCACCATACTTATTCAATGTGTATGCTGAGCCGAGCAAATCCTGGCTTATATGAAGAAGAATGTGGCATCAGGATTAGAGGAAGGCATATATACATACACACATACATACATAAAAATATATAACCTGTGATATGCAGACAACACAACCTTGCTTACGGAAAGACTTTGAAAGAGGAGGGCTTGAGCACTTGCGGATGAAGATCAAAGATTACAGCCTTCAGTATGGATGACAACTCAATGTAAAGATGACCAAAATCTTCACACTAGGTAACAGCATGCTAAGTGGAGAAGAGGTGGAAATTGTCAAGGATTTTGTCTTGCTTGAATCCACAATCAGTGCTCATGAAAACAGGAGTCCAGAGATCCAATGACACTGTGCAGAGTCTGCACAAGAGCTCTTCAGGGTGTTGAAAAGCAAGGACGTGACTCTTGGGACGAAGGTGGCCTGACCTAAGCCATGGCTTTTTCAATCCCCTCGTCTGCATGTGAGAGTGGGGCACTGAACAAGGGGAGTGCAAACAAGAATCAGTGCACTTGGGTGATGGCAGAGGTGACGAATGTTGAAAATACTGGGACTGCCAAGAGAAGAGACACACCTCTCTTAGAAGCAGTACATCCAGAATGCTCCTCAGAGGCTCCTCCGATCCCTTGGACAAGTTATAAGAAGAGATGGTCCCTGGAGAAGGACAACATGTTTCGTAAAGCGGAGTGTCAGCAAGCAAGCGAGAAGGCCTCAAGCTGGCCGGTACAATGGCCGCAACGGCATCGGGACAGGAGGCCATCGGGACAGGAGGCCATCGGGACAGGAAGCCATCGGGACAGGAGGATGGCGCAGGCCACGGCAGTACCTTGCTCTGTTGCACATCGGTTGCTATGAGTCAGGCAGCACCTAACAACAGCATCACAAACCCCAAGGATCAAAAGAAGACACAGCACAGACCCTCAAGAATAAAACAGGGGCCACTACAACAGTCCCCAAGGATAAGTGAGACACCACCACAGACCCAAGTGTAAAATGAGACACACCAGTACAGACCCCCAAACGTAAAATGAGAGACAACATCCAGACCCCAAGAATGAAGGGGGAGGCATCATCACAGGCCCAAGTGCACAGTGAGGCTCCATCACTTTGTGTTGCCATAGCAAATGCAAAGGCGCGACGTGCTGAAAGCAGTGAGCTTTGTCAATGAAAGATGAGGCAGGGCTCGTGCCGATGGAGTCTGTCGGCTGCTCTAGGTTCGCTGGTTTACTCTTTGCCCCTGCTCTCCTGAACTGCTGGCTCATGTTCCTACGTGAACTTCACCACCTTCTCCCACACCCCTGCCTCTGCTTCTCCTCTTGTGCTATGTCAGAGCTGGATGTTCAGGCCATTTTTCCCCTCCCATCCTCTACCACCTACCTGTCTCCAGGCCTCAGTCTCTGCCTCTGTGGCTGTAGCCGACCCATGCCCCCCTCTAGCCCCAGCCTCAAGGTGCAGCCTACCTGGCTGCCTCTGGAGCTGCTCCTTCCGGCAGAGAAAGTGCAGGCCAACTGCTGATGCTCTCTTCACAGCTCAGCACCTGACAAGAAGGTGTTTTAAAGAGTGTTTCCAGTAAGCTCTCCAGGAAAAAGTAGCTATTTAAAATGGCTACAGATCTTACATTCTAAAATGAGTGTATGAGTGACAGCTATTTAATATATCCTGCCATATTCCTTGCAATTGCAAAGCCGTTACTGTCTGCGCTGGCGCTGAAACATGCCTGCCACCTCTCTGACATGCAGGGCCCCTGCTGCACGCCCCCATCAGACGCCAGCATGCACTGAAGACTCTCCCCACCCACCCCTGCACACCTGCTTTTTCAGCTGAGAGGCAGGATGGAAGCGAGAACTGTAGCCTTCGGCAATGCTGACCAATGACTGTACTGTTGCTTCTTCCTGGTTGAGAGGAGAGTTCTGTGTTTGGTCAGGCTCCCGGCTTTCTTCTGCCGACTCACAGGCCAGGTAAGCCCCCATTCTCACAGGGTTCTCTCAGGTGAGGCAAGGCCCAGCCCCGCATCACAGTCACCCCCCAGTAACCCAGCGACTGACAGGAAGCCGGCTGAAAATGAGCAATTACCAAGCCGATGTCTGTCCTCTGAACTCTTAAACAATTTTAATGAGAGTTGCTAATATTAAGTTAGAAAACGATGAAATAGCCCCAACAAAAATTACTCATCTTAAAATGATCCGTGTTCACTGATTGCTGTGAATACTCCCCTAAACCACTCTGCTCTCACCCCTGCCATCAGTTGATCCGGACGTTCAGGGCCCTCCAGGACAGAGTCTAACTAGCCCGTGGGTTTGGAGACCAGCTCTGGCAAACAATAGGAACGGCCTCGCCATTTCATTGGTTCACAGGAGCCTGGTACTGTCTGGCGGTGGCGCTGGCGAGAAACGGGCTCGACCCGGGGCAGGGCTACTGTCACAGGGTCGCCACCACCAAATTCAGGTGCTTCCTCATTTGACGGATTCATTTTACTTGTCAGGCGGAAATCTCACAAGACTTTTCAGATGCGTAGAGGAAGCTGGTGGCAGAATGATGCCATCGAAGGCTGGCCCACCCCCTTCACGGGCACTGGGCTATGAGCACTCAGTGGGTACTCCACAGGAGTGCCCTCACATGGTCTCCCAAGGAATGCTTCTCAGGGAGCTCCTCGGTCCCCCCTCTCTGTGCACTCCATCACCCCCCAAATGCCCCTTCTGGGGTGGGCCGCTCAGCTGTTCTCGAGCGCTGCACCTCTGCCAGCAGCGCGGGGCCAACGGAATGAACTGTACGCTCTGCCCCAGTCCAGGAAAGACGGAACGCCGAGGAAGCAGCCTTCCAAGTGGAGGCGGCCGCACGGAGTGCTGAGGCACAGCTGAGCGCTGACCGCACAGGAGGCCTACTCAGGGCGGTTCAGCAGTGTGATTTCGGCTCAGAAGACCCTGAGGGAGCGTTACAGTGTGTGGCCGCGATTACCGAGGGCGCGACACCAGCATGGAGGCCGCCGTGGGGACCGAGCCTGAGTAACAGCACGAGGGAAAGCGCCAGCAGCTGGTGTGCAGCTCCTTCTGGAACCTCGCAGACGTGGACCTCCCCGTGGCTCAGTCGGTCTCGTATGCGGGGGCCCTCCTGGTGGTTCAACACATCCCAGAGAAATTCCTTCAGGGGCCAGAGAGCAGTCTGTTAGCAGGGGCACCGGGCAGCAGGAAGCCCGATGCCTGGCTTCCCACAAGGGATGCATCCATTGCTGCTGGAAAGCCCTTCCCTCAGGCCCAAGTCTACTGCGCACACCGTGGATGCCGAGGCGGTCCTGCCTGGGACAAGGGGCAGTGGGCACTGTCGACCCAGGTGGCCGTCCATAGGGGTGAGCGCCGTAGTAATACACACAGTTAGGAAGTGGTAGTGGGCAGATGCTGAGGATGATAGGAAGGCATTGGGGCGTCGGCCGGAGCAGCCGCGCACTGGAGTAGCCAGGCAGAAGCACAGGCATGTGCAGGGCCGGGAACGGGCCCTGCCTGGGTCAGGCCTTCCCCAGGGCAAGAGTGCACGCTCTGACCCAGCAGCCAGTAGGGGCTGTGCAGCCCAGGGCCCTATTCTTGCCCCACGCATACCCGGGGCCTTTTTTCAAAAGTCTACCCAGTAATTTTTATATGGTTTTAGGAAAATGTAACTCTAACAGCAGCTCATGATACTGAAAGGGGAGCAAAGGCCCCATGTAAGAGATGTCTTCACACAGGACCATCAGCTGAGGGACGGCGCAGACCAATCTCCCAAGTCTCACGGGAAAGCACCCTGCAGAGGTGGAGGCCTGCAGGCGTCTGTGCACAGGACAAGCCCCAAGGCTGCAAGGCCCCACCCATTGTGGAGCGGGTCTAATGACATCTTCATAGCGGACCCCCCACACTGGAAGACCAACCGAGCTTTCTACCATTTAGAGATTAGACCAAAAGACCCCGCCCATCTGGAAGACCCAGCTACTTTACCATCACAGGCTCCCCAAGGAGAAGTGGAAGCTGATTGGCCGTACCATCATTCAAGTCCTTTGCCAACATCTAAAACATCAGGAAGAAAGGGGTTGGTCAACTAGCAGCACGCAGAGCTCGGGATTCAGCAGTTTGGGTGTGACATCTCTGTGCGCCAAGAAAGTTAGGTAAATGGGTGGTCTCAAAACCATGCCAACCACCTGGTCAGAAGATGTTCCTCTACGGCGATGACAGAGACACACTCTGCAGGCCGTGCTCGATGACAACAGCACTCCGGCTCACGTGGGTGTGCTCTTCTGTGAACACTCACACACACACACGCACGCACGCACACGCACACTCACACACACGTGCAAACTTCAAGGCCACCCTCTCCCCCTCTGGCCACACTTGCCACCTCCTTTAGCCTCGTAGACCAAGTCCATGGACAGAATTGAGAGAATGCGATTTCCCCAGACTCTTTGAAGCCCTCACACATCGCCGCACGGCACACCGACAGGAGCTTTCACTTGACTGGACTGCTCACCTGTGAGCCTCAGCTGCCTGACAGGAAAGAGGCTGGAGTGTTCAGACACCTGCACTTGGGCCTCCCAGAGGCCACCTCTGTGGGAGATGCCCTGGGGCACACAGAATGACCCGAAGGAGACCAGGCACATGGGCCTGAGTGCTGGTAACTCCAGCACAGTGAAGACACCGGAAGCACCATCCATCCTAACAGGGGGGCTGGTGTGTAGTTTACACACAAACAAATAAGGGCTAATCCCAAATCTAAACTGTAAGCATCTAGATAATTCCAGCAGTAATGTTAATCTGTTGTATTTCCCAACTTTTGAGTTTTTTACAATTTTACATGTTAGGCTAACAGTACCGTGGGGCTCAGAGACAGACTGCAGACTTTATATAAAATTTTTTTGGTCTCAGAGAGGAGGCATAAGGTTTGTAGAGGTTGGAATGAAGAGATAATGGAATTTTCCCAAGAACTGTTTGAAGCTCTCCTGTATTGTTATTGGTATTTTCCTGTACGTGTGTGGCTTACAATGACTTCAATTCTGCACTTTCTATTTTAAACAGACACATGCTTCTGTTTTCAGGAGTCACACACATTTGGCTGCTTACCTCATCAAAGGTGGTGTAAAGAATCGTTGACTTCAGAACCGGAGAGAAAAGAGACATCATTACAACAGAGTACAGAGTGACATTATTCAAATGAGACAACAATTCTAGTGTGTGGCCCCAAGTCTGAAACCTTCCATTGAAATAGTGCTATGGTGGGGACAAGGCCATGAGCCAGTCAATGAACCACGGCTCACAATCCTGACCCAGAACTAGCCACGCAAACAGAACACCCTGCTCGTGGAACCTGCTCACAGCTGAGGGCAACTCAAGTGTTGGTGCCGAGGGCAGCTGCCGCTCCACAGGCCCCTGGGGAGCTGGTAGGTGAGTGAGTCAGCCACAGTGGCGCCCTTCAACACTGTGTTCAGGTAAAGCAGGCCCAAACAACCAGGTAAGATGTAGGGGGGCAGAGTGGGCATGGGGGCTGATGGGCAGGGAAGGACGGGATAGGCCTCAAGCTTGGTGCCAGGTGTGAGGTGTGAATGAGGGCAATACTCTCACAACTTGTCTGAAGGAGAAAGGGGCCTTTTTCGAAACAAAGGAAATGTGAGCTGGAGGGAAAATGTATATAAAGGTATTTGCACACAAGGGGCCAACTAACCCACCACCAGCAGGAGGAACGAACAAGAGAACCGGAGGAGGGGCCGAGCTGAGATCAGGAGGAGGGGCTGAGCCGAGACCAGGAGGAGGGGCTGAGCCGAGACCAGGAGGAGGGGCTGAGCTGAGCTCAGGAGGCATATATCAGAAGCTGGGTGTCACAGCCCAGATTAGGGGGAGCTGCCACTTAAGCTCCCCCAGCTTGTCCTCCCCTCTGAGGGGTTTTCATTAGAGTTCCACTACTCTGTTCCCGCCCCACAGAGGGGCCCACCTGAGCCCGGGGTTAGCTGCACAGTGCCAGGAAGGGCAGCGAGAGGACTTCTAAGGCCAGGAGCCTGCTAATGATGGAATGAGACTGTGGGTGGGGCAAGTCTGGCTGACAAACCCTCCCCTCCCCTCCCCCAAACCTGGCGATCCCACAGCAACATAAGCACAGGTGAGGCACCTCAGCCGTCAGGAGTCTGGCTGGACAGTCGTTCACAGTAGCAAACGCTCGCCGAAGCCCCGCTTCCAGTTGTGTCAGTAACAGGATGACGCAGTCGGCGAACCTGGGGCATTGGAGGGTACGTGCATAAGCGTCCACATCTAGCAGCCCTGAGCCTCACTGCGGTGGCCTCACTGCGGCGGCGGTCGGTGGAGGTGGCCCCAACTCACGGCAAGCCCACGCACCAGATGGGACCACTGGCCTGTCTTCCCAAGCACCTCACCACACCTTTCCTCCTTGCCCACCTTAGTCTGGAAGCTCTGCTGAAACCTGTTCGGCTTGCTGAGGCCCCTCTGGCAGCTGCTAAACCACAGTTCAGCTGTGAACTTTGAACTCCTCGTATGCCACCACCTCACACTCCAGCCTGCCCCTGCGTCCGCCCCATAGCACACCGGCACCCTCTCAAGGCCTCCGAGCAGTGCCGGCCTTTCCTTACCTGTGGGACCTGAAATTGCTGATTGCGGCCTCCCAGTATGGTGTCATGGTGCCAGGTATTACCGGGGACTTCTTCACCATGGCGTCCAACATGGAAAGGACCTCGGTAGTGACAGCTGCAAGGCAGCAAAGAACCTTCACGAAGGGCAGCCCACGGCCGGTGAAGGCTTGCCCACCTGGGGCAACTCATGGCTAGCTGAGGAGGCGAGCTCTGGCCCACCCTCTCTGAGGTAGCCACAGGCGCCATCAGGGAGTCACCACTCTGACCTGGAATGGGGTGGGGAGCCTTGGGACCAGGGCCGAGAGCCATGAGTACTGGTCTCCCCAGAGCCTGAGGGGCTCGGGTGGCCAGTGCAGCACATGGACCAAGCTCGGAGTACTCTCTTTCCAAGGACACAGGAGATGACCTGCTGGAGGCCCCCCTGGACGGGGAAGGAGGTGGGACAGGGCAGGCAAGAAGGTCCAGCCACGGTCAGCACACTAGTGGCAAAGCAACCGTGTCTCCAGTGTGAATTCAGGAGACTCTCAAAGGCCCCACCCCTGGCCTTGTCTCTGCCCCAGAGTTCACGCTGGAGGCCCCCAGCTAGTGGTGCCCACAGTGCTGGGAAGATCTAGGAACAGAGAAGATGGGGCAGGCGGGACTTGCCAGGAAAGACGCTCACATCCTCCAGGTTGGCGAGAGTCAGGAAGCAGCGGCGTGTCAGCGAGCGCTGGGTGAGCTGAAGGAAGCTGTCCAGGAGCTGCCCGAGGCCTGCTGCCAGCAGAACCAGCATGGAGCAGTACCTGGGCAACCAGGGGGCTGAGGGGAAAGCGGCTCGGCCACACGAAGCACAGAAGCCGCTCTTGCACGGCAGGACAGGACAGTGTGTGCTGGGGCTGGGGCATCTCCCAGGTGCTGGGCTGGGGCCTGCAGCAATCCTGTTCCCCCAGGGATGTGAGCCCCACCCCTCCTCCTGAAGGCCCAGGAAAGCGCCCCCACAGCACATGCACCCCCCACAGGGGGTCCAAGAGCAGATAGGGGATGCAGCCATGGATGCGTGCACGGCGACGACTCACTTTGGCGGGATCTCCTGAGGGGCTGCAAAGCCGTGCCACAGGATGTTGCGAAGGTTGAGTCCATGCGGAGAGCCCACGAAGACCTTGAGCACATCCATCTGGTGACGAGGGGCTGAGTGTCTGCTGGGAGCGCGCTCGGCCGCAGCACTCACAACAACCGAGAGGGCAGTTACTACGCCAACCTGCACTGGGCATCCCACGGGCCGGGCCCGCCCTCCAGGCACGCACACACACGTGAATGTATGCACACGGACGCACACATGGCCCCGCCTGCCCTCCGAACCACCAGCCAGGAGGCCCCATGAGCTGGAGAGGCTGCCAGGGCAAAGCTGCAGGATGGTTGATTGGAGGGGCCCTGGTGGCACTGTGGGTCCAGCACCGGGCTCCTGAGAGCAAGACGAGGCCATCTGCTTCTGTAAAGATTTAGTGCCAGACACTCTTGTTCTACCCTGTCCCGTGGGGCCAACATGAGTCAGCACGACCCAACGGGGCAGGGTTGGTGTGGGTTTGGTATCCTCTGTGAAAGGACTGAAATTCTGATTCTAGGCCATGTGAGTGTTCTGATGACTAAGATGTGCTTGATCACAGAGCTATGTGTCCCAGCGTCCCCTTCTGGTACCACAAGGTGTGGTGTTGCCCTTTAGCTTGGGGCTGAAAGCGGGGCCACCGTGACCGGACGGTGGGCCAGGGAGGGAGCTGGAAACGGTTTCCTCTTAAGCAGCATCGAGTAGGAAGCACAGAAAGCCCGCAGCTGGCGGGCGGGTTCTGACTCCTAAGGGCCCACTGAGGACCCTGACAGAAGCCCATGGCGCCATCTTCCACCAGCCCAGAAGTACAAGTAACTTGGACTATTCTGCGCTGCCCCATCAGTGGACAGTCTTACCACAGGCTGCCCGAAGACTTGCGCCAGCTCCTGGGACGCAAGCAGGTCTCGGAGGAGAAAGGGGCATTCCTTTCCCAGCAGCAGAAACACCTAAAACACACACAGGGCTGTGAGGACCGCAGCCTCCTCACTGGCAGCCACACAGGGAGAGCAGAGCTTGGCATTTCGCAGTCACCAAAGAAACACAATTAAATCCCGTGTCAAGTGGGAATTCATAGGAAAACAACCAGGAAAGTCAAGACACAGCAACGGTGACATCACTGACGCAAACGACGTAACCGTGCAGTGAGGGGCGGGCACATACGTCACCCAGCGCGCGCTCCAGACAGGAAGTCAGTTTCAGGATGCTGAGCGGCACGGCAGTGGGCTGCAGGCTCTGCAGAGCGTCCAGGATTTCAGGAAACAGCTGTCAGGATGAGAGGTATGGCAGGGTTTGCATAGTTCTCCAGGTAGCAGGAAAATTTGCTGAAATTCACTCTCCCTGGGTTTCAACTGACATGGTTCAGTGAGTCTCTGGTTGGGCACAGGTAAACACTTTCTGTGTAAACATCGCAAAATATTTACTGGATCAAATAACTGAAACTATACCTTCTTTATTCAAATTATTATTGGAAGCAATCAGTCTGGTATAACTGTAAACTAAAAAGTCAAGGGTTTAGAATAGGTGTTACTTCCCATTTTAATTTAGAATAGTTCTCACTACAACAGGCAGGTCATCCTGACACTTCAAAGGGGAAAGCAAAGTGTGCCCTCGCCCCACCCCCCATCTAAGAGGCAATTCTAAGTGTGCCAGAATCCACTCAGTGTAGTTACTACTTTCTTTCAATTATTTAATGCGCCCAATGAAGTAGTTAAAAAAAGAACCAGAAAGCCAACCAACACAAGATTTTGGCTTGGCCCAAATTAGTCCCTGCCTGGTGGCATAGATTGTGTTAGGTTACTAACCACAGGGTCAGCAGTTCAAACCCACTCGCTGCTCCAAAGGAGAAAGATGAGGCTTTCTGCTCCCAATTTCTAACCTTGGAGACCCACAGGGTAGTTCTGCTCTGTCCTAGAAGGTCACTCTGAGTCAGAATCCACACGATGGGGTGAGTGTGGTTTGGTTTGACTGTCAACCCACTCTGAACAAACCACACATTTCTGTCCCCTGGTCCCAGTAGCTCAGGGACACCTGACTTTCCAGAAAGCCCGTGCTTTGTTCGGGAGTGTCAATTTGTCTTCGGTCTCTCAATGAGCACCTAGGTACCGAGGAAGTGCAGACATAGTGGCCGCTACTAACACTTACTATTGGAAAGTTGGAGCCGAAGGGAAGGAAGGGGGTGGGGAATACAGCACTGGTGATGCCGACAAAACGGGAGGTCTCCTGACAGAAGTGTGTAACACCAACAACCTCACTGCAAACACCTTTTGTCCAACAACATAGACGGCAATGCACCCATAGACCAGTGTTTCCCAAAGTGGTGCCACCGTCCCAGGGCGCTGGGACGGACAGGGGGCTGCAACAGCAGATATGACACTTCCTCCTGGGTTATGGGCGGCAGCACAAACGGTCCTAATTTCCAGAGAACACAAGAACAAGTTACTATCTGGAAAGGGGGCAGAAGACCAAGTAAGTTTGGAACCTATGATGCAGACCTTGACAGATGGACTACACCGGAATCAGACTGATTACATCCATGGGGGGAAATGCTGGAGAAGCTCATTGTCAGCAGCTGAAACGAGGCCAGGGGCAACTGTCGAAGAGACCACCACTGAGAAAATTAAATCCATGAGAGCCGAAACAGGACCTTGAGTTCATTCCACCTGAATTCAGAGACTGTCCCAAGAGCAGATTTGCTGCATTCGGCCGTAATGACCAAAGGCCTGGCGAGTTGCAGAACGGTATCAAGTACATCACAAGTGAAGAAAGCAAAGGTCATTACAAATACAAGAAGGAAAGGACCAAAGTGGATGCCAGAAGAGATTCTGAAACTCGCTCTTGAATGTAGAGTAACTGATGCTCACGGAAAACGGTGAAAAGAGCCGAATGCAAAATGTCAAATGCAGCTAGAGAAGACAAAGTATTATAATGAAATGTGCACAAACCCAGTGTTAGTTAGAAAGCCAAAGAGCGCATTCCTCACGCTGCAAGAGCTAAGGAGAAGCTGGACTACATGAAGAAGCACCCAGCATCTGGATTAGAGGAAGAATGCAGATGATACAACCTTGCCTACTGAAAGGAGGGTATGAGGCACTTGCAGAAGAGATCAAGGGTTGCAGGCTTCAGTACGGATTACGACTCAAAGTAAAAAAGACCCAAAGCCTCACACCTGGAGCAAGACAGCAGCACGACCCGCAGAGGAAAGACTGGAATGGCCAAGGGCTTGGACCAAGTGAGGGCTTGGACCCACAATCAATGCTCATGGAAGCAGCAGTCAGGACAGCAAATGACACAATACTTTGGGCAACTCTGCTGCACAAGACCTCTTTAAAGTGTTGAGAAACAAGGAGGTTACTTTGCGGACTACGGTGCACCTGACCCAAGCCGTGGTATTTTCAATCACTTCCTATGCATGTGAAAGTCGGGCAATGAATACGGAAGATCAGAGAAGACTAGTTATATTTGAATGATAGTGTTGGTGAAGAATATTGAAAGTACTGTGCACTGTTAAAAGAATAAGCAAATCTGTCTTGGACGAAACACAGCCGGAATGCTCCTTAGAAGGGAGGAATGAGACTTTGTCTCATGTGCTTCAGACACGTTATCTGGGGAGATCAGTCCCTGGAGAAGGACATCATATTTGCTAAAGTCCAGGGTCCATTAAAAGGAAGAAGTGCATGAAGGAAACAGATGGTCACAGTGGCTGCAACAATGGGCTCAAAGATTGTGAGGGGGTTACAGGACCATACAGTGCTGCTTTCTGTTGCACACATGCCGCAGACTTGGAAGCCACTCAACGGCTCTTCACAGTACTCCCACCAAGGCCACCTCCCGGGCCCCAGTCCTCTGCTGATGCTATGTGCTGCCCAGCAGGTCAGACACAACAACCAGGTGACACAAGAGAGCTGCCCCATGGGGTTGACCTGGCTAGGTTCTTCACCAGAGCAGACAACAGCCTACCCACTGTGTCACCAGAGCATCAAAACGGGGGTGGGGGTGGGGTGGGGTGGTGGCGGGAGTGTCTCTGCAAGGGTTGTTAAGGTCATCCAGAAGCCACACCTCAGGGCAGTGTGTCCACTGGAACCAGGATGCATATAGAATGTCGAAGTGCACTCTGGTCAGAGACAGGTAGTGCAGATGGACAGCTTCACACAGGGGGCCCAGCAGCCGTACACTCTTGCAGTAATCTAGACCTTGCAAGACAGGAAAACAACATTTAGGCCCCAGTTATCACCAGAGAAAAGGGACTTTCATTCATAATTGTAACATTTCCACCAAATCACCACTCAGCTCCCATCCCTCCTTCTCGCACAAAGGATCCCAGCCACCCAGCTTCCCATCACCCCCTTTAAAAAAGCTGCTGAAATAAGTATTACTGACAGAGACATTTGGTCACAACACAATTTTTCCTAACTCCCCACCATCCCTGGTCACCACCAGTCTTTTTTGTTTTTCATTGAATATATCTAGTCTAGAGTTCATCGGTGCGGTTCCCACCAACGCTGAGACCCTCTGGCCTCATTCCTGCTCCTGAATGCTGACTTCTTGTATTTATCAAGCGATGCTACCAGAGAAATCCCAAGAATGGTTGCCTTCAACCAACACACCTGCATTTTCTCAGTTTTGCTGCTGTGGGTGTCATGAGTTGGTTCTGACGTGCAGCAGCTGTAGAGGTGGGACAGAAGGAAGCCCTGACTGATCCTGAGCCATGCTCACAACAGTTGGTAGGTTTGGGCCCATTTTTGCAACCACTACATTAATCCATCTCGAGGGTCCTCATGTTTGCTCACCCTCTATATTTTACCAGAATAATGTCCTTTCCAGGGGACTGGCTCCTTCTCATGACATGCCCACAGTACATGCGATGGTGTTTCACCACCCTTGCTTCTAGGAAGCACCCTGGCTGAACTTCCGCCAAACTTGTGACGCAGCCACTGTTGGTCGAACACGATAATCCGCAGGCATTAAGTCTGTGTTCATCTTCTTTCTGCATTTCCCAGCTTTCACCTGCAGAAGAAGGTGACCATAGCCTGGACTGAGCACACCAGTCCTCTAAATGACTTCCTGCTCAACGCTTTAAAGAGATCTCCTGCAGAAGATCTGCCCAGTGTTGTTGAAATTATTTGCAATGAGTAAGTTGTTGGTCTTGTAGTATTCATCCAGGTGCTCTCTGGCCTCATGTCTGTCAATAAAGTATATGGATATTCCTCTAGCTCTGGTATCATTGAACTTATGCACACATCTTCAAATGTTCTTCCGGATGACGAATGCCAGGCCTCTTCCACTCGCCATCCCAGGCACAGTAAGCTACGTTGTTGTTCGGGGCCACTGAGTCAGTTCCAACTCACACCGGCCCGTGCACAACACAATGAAACACTGCCTAGTCCCCCACCATCCCCACAATGGTTCCTATGCCGGAGCCCAATTGTGCAGCCACCGTGTCAGTCCATTGCGTGGAGAGTCTTCCTCTTTGTCGCTGTCCCTCCACTTCACCAGACATGATGTCCTTCTCCGGGGCCTGGTCTCTCCTGACAACATGCCCAAAGTATGTAAGGAAGCCTTGCCATCTTTGCCTCTAAGGAGCACTCTGGCTGTACTTCTTCCAAGACCGGTTAGTTTGTCCTTTTAGCAGTCCTTGGTCTTTCCAATATTCTTCACCAGCACTACAATTCAATTGCATGTATTCTTCTTTGGTCTTCCTTACTCAACGTCCGACTTTCACACGCCCAGAGGTGACTGAAGATTCTATGGCTTGGGTCGTAGTAAACCATGTTTGTCCAATTCAACATGGCCAATACTGACTGGCTCATTTCAGCTCACTAATGCCCAGGAAATTGGTCTTTATGCGTTCCACTTCATTTTTGTCAGCTTCCAATCTTCCAGATTCATACTTTGTACATTCCATGTTCTAATTATTAATGGATGTTGGCAGCTCTTTCTTCTCATTTTGAGTTATGTCACACCAGCAGATGAAGCTTTGCTCCATCCACATTATTACTTTGAGGAGGCTGCTCTTCCCCGGCTGTATTCTGAGAACCTTCCAACCTGAAGGGCTCATCTTTTAACATGTCATCAGTGTTCTGCTGCTGTTAGTAAGGTTCTCACTGGCCGGTGTCTTAAAGAAGTTGAATGCTGTGGCCCTGTCCCAGCCTGTCCTGGTCCAGAAATGCTACTGAAACCTGTCCACCACTGCTGACTCTGCTGGTATTTGAAATACCAGTCTTAAAGCTTCTAGGATCCCAGTAGCAGACAAACCGCCACAATACAACAATCTGACAGGTGAATGGAGGTTACACAGCGTAGGCCAGAAATCCAAAACCAGGATCCCGACTCTCACTTATGGCTTCTTTTCTCTGTCAGTTCTAGAGGAGGGTTTCTGCCTCGCTGAGCTTCTGCTCCTGCTCCTGAATAATCTTTAGGTAGCTTGATGTCTCATTACCCCCATCTCTGCTCTTCTGGCTTGCTTAAGCTATTTTATATCTCAGATTCAAAGCACACCCTACACTACTCCTGCTTCATCAGCACAGCAAAGACAACCCACCCCCAATGGGAGCACCTTGCAGGCACCATGGGTGGCTGAGCAGTGAATTCTCAGTGGGGCTCCTTAAGGGCCACAGCATAAAGGCTAGGCATTATAGTGCATATTTGGGGGCACACAATTCAATCCAATACATTCCCTTTGTCCTGTGAGCTAATTGTGCATGACAGCCACCTCTAACAAACAGCAGCAGTGGTCAAAAGGGAACTTTACAATCACTGACTGGTGATAGGGGCGCAAAGAAAGCACAAACCTGATTCTGCATAGCTCACACAGTCTGTAATTGTGTTCCAGCAGACTTCACCATTCTCACTTACAACGCTACTGATGTCCCGATGTTCTGTGACTTCAAAGCCAAGTTTACAAATCATAGCATATACGGAGGGAGAAAGGCATGTAGTCATAGCATCCCTTTTAATGTCTGAAATGGGAGACACACAACGATACTGTTTTTACCAGGGTATAAAAACAGAGGAATATTAATTATGCATTTAAGTCACCAGACAATCCTATTTGAGAGGGAAAGTACACTCGGGAATAGGCAATAAGAATGTGCTTTCTGGATTTCATGGGAGTTATGGGATTAAACCACTGTGGTCAAATTCAAAGTTACAGAAAGATTTTCAAATAAAATCCACCAGCCCAGAAAGGAGCAGCCGGGATACATCTCATGAACCGGCGCCACTCGTCCCGTGAATATTGGAGAGTGCGCACACAGCTATGGGCGAGGGGGAACTGAGACTAGAGGGGGAATGCACAGACTACCAGGGGCCCCAGACTCTACCTCCAGTTTCCAGACTCCACGCCGCCGGCGCAGGCGGATGACGCGAGCCTCTCGCATCCCTCCCGCCGGGCTTCCACCGAGGCTGCCGCAGGTGGATGACGCACACCCCCAGCTCGCCCGGGCTGCGTCGCGCAGTCGATGACGCAAGCACCTACCGCCTGCCTGAGCTTCTCCGGCGCGGGTGGATGACACGCTCGTCGCTCATTGGGTCCGGTGCCCTAAGGGCGCGCGCGCGCGCGCGCGCGCGGGCTCTTTCCGCTGTTGTTGCGGCGCTCGGAGGAGTTTGGTGCGGGCTGGAGAGGAACCTGCGATGGAGAAGAAAGGCAGATTCATAAAGCCGGCCGTGGCCTCGAGCCCCCAGCCGCCGTCGGCGCCTCGGAAGGAAAGGAGGCTGAGCATGTTCGAGAAAGAGGCAGTGAGTGTGAGACGTCGAGGGCCGGACGCCGCGGGTTTCGGGCCTGGGCGTTTGTCCTCGGAAGCCGCGCCCTCTGTAAGCCGGGACCCAGCCCCAGGTCCCGGAAAAGGCCGCTCCCTCCCACAACGACCCGACGTAGGGTTTCTCGGGCTGCCACCCTGCTCGGCATTGTGACTGCCGAGTCCGCGGTCAGGGGTTCGAGCCCACTAGCCACTCCGCAGGAGGAGGATGAGGCTATCTGCTCCCATAGAATGAGAGTCAATGAAACCCAGAGGCACATGGACTGCCCTACCCTGTCCTATAGATTCGATGGCAGGGAGTTTGGTTTTTAGTCTCGAAGGGAGCACACCGCCTCATCTCTATTGTGGAGCAGCTTGTTGATTTGAACTGCCAACTGTACAACTGGCAACCCTTGCCTAACCCACAGCGCAACTAGGGTCCATTGCTAGAATTGGTAGACCCCACAGTAACCCAAGTCCAGGGGATGGTTCAGGCTTGCTCACCGGCCACACTCCTGAAGACTAAGATGGCTCATCACAAATCTAGGGGGTTTTCGTGCGTGCAGTGCCTTCATGCCAAAGTCTGACTAACAGAACTTAGGTGGTTTTCACAAACAGGACTGGCTCGAAGAATACTGTACTGTATACCAGAGAAAATAAAGTGAACTTTTGAAAATATCTCGCCTGTTAACATGTTTTCTGAAATTCGTGGAAGTGTGATTTTCCAATATATTGGTGGTATAGGACCAGTATTTCTGTATTAACATTGTTTGAAAACTAAATAATCCAGATTTCCTCATTCCTTAGACTTTGAGAGACCTCCTTGTCCAAGGATGCACATCTGTGTAAAGATAACATGGAGGGTGGAGCCTACCTAAGTGTCTATGGAAGAGCAAACAGAACACCAGTTTTCGAAGATCCTAAAAATTTCCGCTTCACCTCCAAATAAAACCAAAAGACCAGACTCACAGCCATTAAATGAAATATGGTTTATCATTACTGTATGGACAGAGGACTTCTGTAGGTTTCTCAGACTGTTGGTCTTTGTTATTGTTGTTGGGTGCCATTGAGTCAGCTCCCAACCATCGTGACCTTGTGTACAATACAATGAAACACTGCATAGATCTCCGCCATCCATACATTTTCCTATGCTTGAGCCCATTGACGCAGCCACTGTGTCAAATCTCATTGAAGGCCTTTCCCTCCTTCACGGCCTCTCCACTTTACCAAGCATGATGTCCTCCTCCAAGAAATAGTCTCTTTACAATATGTCCAAAGTATATAAGACAAAGTTTTGCCATCCTTGGCTCTAAGGAACATACTGGCCCTACTTCTTCTAAGACATTGGTTTGTCATCTTAGCAGTCCATGGTACTTTCAGTATCCTCCAGCACCACAATTCAAACGCATTGCTTTTTCTTTGGTCTTCGTTATGCAATGTCCAACTTTCACATGAATATGAGGCAATGGAGAATACCATGGCTTGGGTCAGACACAAGTCAGATAAAGCCAATGGGAGGGGAGCCTTTGGGATCTTCATATGTTGGTGGGGCACCACTCGAGAAACAGCTGCAAAAATATTTTATGATTGAAATTTGGAATATGTGAAGTATTTAGGAAAATTGGAAGTGGTAAAAAATGAAAAGGAATGCATGAAGATCGATGTCCTAGGTGTTAATGAGTTGAAATGGCCTAGTATTGGCCATTTTGATTCAGAAAATCATTATTTACTGAGCCAGGAAGAACATTCAAGAGGGATGACGTGGCATTCATTATCTCAGAAAAGATCTTGCTAAATCTATCATGAAATACAATGCTGTCTTTGAGAGGATTATATCTATCTGCCTTCAAAGAATGCAATCAATACAACTATTATTCAAGTTTATGCATCAACCACAAAAGCTAGTGATGAAACTGAAGAATTCTACCAACAACTTGTTTGAAGTTGATCAAACGTAATCAAGATGCATTAATAATTATGGTGATTGGAATGTGGAAGTTGGAAAAGAAGAAAGAACCGTTGTTGGGAAATATAGACTTGGTAATAGAAATGAAGCTGGAGATTGCATGATAGAAGTTTTCAAAACCAACACTCGTTCATTGTCTGAGTAACCGATCTCTCGGGTCTTAGGCGCAATTGTGATAATATATAAAGATTATAGCAAAGTCAGAGAATAGAAGAGGGTATATAATAAAGGAGTCGGATTTCATGTTAGCATGCCCACCTCAGCTCCTCTTGGTGGTCCACGTGGAGGTGGGAGATGAGAGGAGGAGAGGGAATATATTTCTAACCAAGGCTTATATATACTTAGGGGTGTGCAAGCCCATGATTACAGGTAGCCACGTGCGTCACAGGAAGGTTGTATCATAGGCAATGCAGCAATGGGAGGGGGATGGTCTAGGGGTATACATGCAATAGGAGGAAGAGGGATTAGGGTATATTTGTGACAAGATGGACAGATCCTAGGTTCAGGATGGCAGCCTAACCTTGGTCACCCTTGAGGGGCCTAGACAGTTTCTGTGAGCTCTCCAGGGAAACAATCACTATCCTTATCAGTAGGGTATGAGCCCCACCTACAGTGGGGAGGTGGGACAGACTAGTGTGATTGCAATGGGTGGCTGATGCCTTTTAACTTCTAAGCAGCTGACCACACAATGAGCTAGCAAGCAGGAGATAACCTGGGGTGAAATCTTTTTGTATCCAACAGTGCATAGCAAATACCTTTTTTCAACAACACAAAGGGCCACTGTACACATTGACTTACCCAGATAGAATACGCAGAAGTCAAGTTGACTACATCTGTGGAAAGACATCATGGAGAAGCTAAGACACCAGAACGTGGAAAAGGAAACATGTGTCCTAAAGTAGTAGGTCAGTGGAAAAAAGGAAGATCACCATTGAGATTGTGGCAGTTACATCATCTGTCAACAAAGGGGTGGAGTCCAGCCTGTCAATCAGGTCGCAGCTTGATGACCTCATTTGGAGGTGCGATGGAGAAACAGATAAATAGCTCATTGGAGGCCAGATTAAAAAAGACACTGCTTTGGCTTCTGCTGACAAGACACATGGAGCTGCACTGATTAAGAGTTAGAGCCCGTGGGAAACCCACGCCAGTGCTGAGATGCTTCCACCACCACTAGATCCACAAGACTTTCCACCCACTGGCCTGTGATCTTCCTGCTTTAGGTATCATTGCATGTGCTGCATGGTATCAGACATATGGGCTAATATTGGACTTACGGACTTGAACTGGGCTCGAATGTTTTCTTAATATACATTTACTCTTTATATAAAGCTCTTTCCTATACATACATGAGTGTCTATGAATTTGTTTCTCTAGTTAACCCAGACTAACAGAGATGGATCGACACACAAGGGGCAATAATAGGCTCAAACATAACACGTGTGAATGTAGCATAGGAGTTGACAGCGTTACTGTTTTCTTTTGCACTTTCTGTCAGAATCCACTGAGGGGCACCTAGAAACAGCAACAGACATGGCAATAGAACACTTTTGGTTTAGAAACTTTGTATCTCTGGGTGTGGTTTCCCAAAGCTGAGCAGAAGTGATTGTCAATGAAATAGAATCAAGAGTATTTTAAAGCAAAATGAATGAATGTATTATTATTATGTTAGTTCAGGTAGACTAGAGAAACAAATCCAGAGACACCCATATGTATATAAGAGAGTTTTATATAATGCGTAATTATACATTAAGAAAACATCCCAAACCAGTCCAAGCCCATAAGTCCAATTCCAATCTATAAAGCCCTCTTCAGACTCATGAAACACATGCAATGAATGCAGGAAGATCACAGACCAGAGGGTGGGAAGTCTTGTGGATCCAGTGTCATTGTCAGCATCTCAGAGCTGGCAGGGTCTCCACATGGCTTCTCCAGGTGCAGGGTTCTGGCTGCATCAGGGTAGGTCCATGTGGCTTCTCTTCGGGGATGTCTCACAGGGAGTCAAGCCTGGTCACTAGCGTCTCCAAGAAAGTGAGTTGAGAGAGAGAGTCTCTCCTACCTCCAAGGAGGAAATCCAGGAATTCTCAGGAGAAGGCCATGCCCACACAAAGGCCTCATTGACTATGACCCATTTGACAGACTAGACTCCATCCCTTCACTCTTAATCCTCTCAGTCCCAAATTGACACCAGATTATGTAACTACCACACGTATCATTCTAGTCATCTAAAAAGTGACAAGAGGCACAAGAAAAATAAGACAGCTGTCAAATTAGTCAAGTGACGATGAGGGAACAGATAAGATTTAGAAGAGAAAGAAAAAGATTTAGAAGAGCTAGATTGTTGGTTTGGGAATTTGAGATATAGAATATATTTAACTAGTATGGTACGCTGATCTCTCAGAATTGCTAGTGTAAATGCCCTTGTCTTTCCTGTCGTAGAAGATAAATATCACTTTTAGCAGTATGCTAGCATGTTATGAAATGAATGTGAATAGAACTTAAAACTCACCACAAAGAGAGAAGATGGAAAGAATGCTCAGAGTCACTTTACCAAAAAGAACAAGTCAACATTCCACCCCTTCAGGAGGTAGCATGTGAGCCAGAACCAATGGTGCTGAAGGAAGCAGTTCAACCTGTCAGTCTTTAGAGGAGCAGAAAGTCTCATCTTTCTATCTCAGCGCTACTGGTGGGTTCAACCTGGTACATAACCTCGTGGTTGCAACCCAATGGGTAACTACCTCCAGAAGGCCTTCTTGGCAACATTTTAGGTGATATTTGTGTAGACTTACCTTAAAGGTTTTTTCCTGTTTACTCCTGGCTATTTTAGGAGGATGAGAACACTGAATGTTTGTTGTATGCCAATGCAAGTGTCTTTTGCATTGAAGTGACTAATGAGAAATAAGTCTGAGGCAAGAAGAGAGCAGCTTGGATCCAAGCAGAGTAATCACATTGGATCTTTATTGAGTACCAGCCGCCGAGCTAAGAAGTCCTGGGCCACCCTCACAATTACTCCTGTGCTTGAGCCCGTTGTTAGAGCC